CAGCGATGTAAGAGTTTATACTTTTATAATTTGGTTACGAGAAAGAAATTATGAAAATAAGTAGTGTAGTAATAGTAGTGTTGTTGATAATCAACAATTATCATAATATCAATATTCTATAAAAATAATTCTATTTTTACCCACGACGGAACGGAGAAGGATGAGAGGTTAAATAAAGAAAGTATTATTAGTGATATTAATGAAAATAAAAAAAATGCTAATATTATCCCCGTTAATACCTCGAGGCTATTATTTATTCTGTGCTCCAGGTAAGCTTAAATTGCTTGTGCTAGGAGTTGTTTACGACAGTAGACAATAAAATATTAAGAATACATATTATGAACTTCGCCAACAATTATTTTCCGTGTGATGCCGGCGTAAGATAGTCCACCGATCTATTTCGTCCTGTGGGTGTCGTAAGAGGCGGCTAAGGAAATTCCAGATAAACTTATGACTTCCGATAGATGGTGGTAACCATCTCGTTAAGGCCAGACGTAAAATATCTAGGTATTTTCGGGCAGCAGCGGGCGTCAAACGTGGCGAGAGGTCATGCCTAACAGTGAACTTTCTAGGTGGCAGGTTTCCTACGATGTTTTGTTTCAACGCAGAGTTCGTACCAAATTAGAATTTAAAATTGCAAGTAACAATTTTATCAGTACTCACGATGGTACTGATTACTTAGCAACTTAAGTTATGAAAACTTAAGTTGTTCGAGTTATGAAATTTACGGTTAATTTGAGGTAAAAATAAATTTTAATTTGAAGTATCATACCAAATAATATGCAAGACACTAACAAAGACTTAATTTTAGCTTGGGGCTCCTCTTATAGCTTAAAGGGATAATGGGGCAGCGAAGTGTCCCAAAACTTGTTTCCTTATGACTTTAGACTGAAAGGCATATATAATAACAGTACAGCCTTAGACTCCATAAGGCAGTCATACTTAGTCCTTTGAGGTGTCAACAAATCAAATCTGTATCTAGCCTTCTTTGTTTGAACTCGTTTGTAGTTATCCTTATAACCAAGTACAACAGTAAGTACGTACGTCACTTCAGTTTTGTAAAAAAAAAATATAAAACTGAAAATTATGGACGTGCCTCCAAGTCTCATATACATTTATTTTGTATTAGAATAAACAGAAATAAAGCACCGCGCTCCATTTATATGCAGCGACGCATCGAGCTCAGTTTGCCTTTTCACTGCTGCAGCTACATTTATAAATTATACTTTTTTTTTAGAAGTAGTGAATTATTGTCTTTTGCTTTCTTAAATTATTATTAAAAAACGTGTACATACACACATAATGTTCCATACATAACAACGAATGGAAAATTAATATACATGATATTTTTCTTAGAACTAGTCTCAAAATTTTAGTTCAATTTTTTTAGTTTAGTTTTAATTTTTAGAAAACACCTATTTCTAATCCTTTTTTCCCCTTTTTATTTATTTAGTTTTGCAGTCAAAGAGATTTAAATTGACACGGTGATGGCAAAAAAACTCACACCCCAATCCAATACTCAAAACAATCCTTTCTTTTCTATTTTTAGTTTCAGTTGATAATTCGATTTTTGAACTTCATGTCTATTTTTCCGAATTTCAATCGTATTAATATGTCTACAACAGTATTTTTCCCCTACTATGATGGGATTCGGATAAATCAGCACAATACCTTTGTGGTATTCCTTGGGGGAGGCCTATGTTCAGCATCGGACTAATAACCTGAACAGGTACTGAGAACAACAGAAGGGTAAACACAGAGTGTTTTCAATATAAACAAAGTCGTTAAAAACCTAAGTTTTATAATGACGACATATAAAAAGAAACATTATGCTGATTAAACAAACAACCTACATAAAAGCTTAAATAAAACCTTGAATTACAAAGGCAGGAACTACAAGCGACAAATAATAATAATATTTTAAAATAGATCATATTAAGTAACCGAAAGGGTTGGCCAACTGAGATTAATCCTGTGACTATTTATAGGGGCCAATTTTTCAATCCACAGATAAAATAAATCCAGAGATAAAAATTATCCATAGATAAAATACAACATAAACGATTTAAAACTAACAGCTTTATGAATAAAATAGTTCAATGATCCACGACTTTTTGCGATGGCGGGCGGCGCCACTAGAATGTGAGTGGTGAGGTATAATATTTGACAGATTTCATAGCGGGGAAGTTAATTTGTTCGGAAAATGTAAAAGTTATTATTTCTTTCTGTACTATTTGCTATATTTAATATTAATAACATTAAAAATTAATAAACCATAAAGTAGAAAAATGAAAAAAAAAAAGTTAAAATGTGTAAAAAATTTAAGAGCAAACCACTGAGGCATTGTTTCGTGTATTAATATAATACTCTAGAAAGTGATAAACTTTTATTAAGAAACAACTTCTCAATTAAATTACATTGTGTAACAAAAAACTTTACCTCGGTGTCAACTAGCGACGTCTGGTGAGCACAATATTATTAGCCCTCACTGTTTTAGTTTTATTTTCAGTCAGGTTATATTTTCTTTGATGGAGAACTTTTATCTGGCGATTGAAAAATCGATCCTAAGGGCGAAAGTGATGTAATGTTGGCTTTTTTAGTACCGATAAAATCTTCACTAACATTATTACATCCCTTCAAAAGTCCACTGCTCAACATAGTCCTCCACCAAGGAATGCCACTAAGCACGGCCCTGGGCCACCTGCATCCATCGACTTCCTGAATCTCTTACCAGCTCGTCACTTCAATTAATGGAGAGGCTGCTTTTAACGCTACGAAGCTGCCACTCGCTAACCTTCTTTGCTCATTGATATTCGATTCGTCGAGCTATATAGTCGGCCTATTGCTACTTCATTTTACTGATCCGTCGAGTTAGGTCGGTCCCGATATAATGAATCCAATTACAAAAAAGAACATATCATTAAAAATTTTAGTTTGATATAAATATATAATATCTTAATTTTTTAAATTATCAGCATGTCCTTCTACAAAATGTTAATAACATCTATATTTATATACAGGCTGTACGTAATAATCTTACATTATATTGGGTATTGTATGGAATCCATAGCTACTTTGTATATACATAGGTATACTAACAACTGTAAAAAACAAATTGCTACGTATAAACTATAAATCTATTTTCTCGGAACACGGTATGAATAAATTAAAGATGTTCGAAATATATCATTCCTTTGGTTTGTGAAATTAATCAATACAAGAAAATACGGTAAACACGTCTCTTAAGCCTAAGGCTTTTTTATATATTTTAATTTTCTTTAAGATATTCACCAAAACCAATATTTATGTTTGTTTTTACTGCTCCATATCAAAATAGCGAAACGTAACTTGTACGGGAGCGACCTTCAAACCGGAACCCTTTGCGACGATATTCTAAATTTTACTACTTACTATGCCAAGATTTAGTGAGGAATTGGTGATACGTAGTGATAAAAGGAAAAAAGTAACTCAATACTTTAAGAGCTAAAGTCCCCTTTCAGAAGGATTCTAAGTTGAATTCAAATAAGCAGCTTTCCCCACGAAAACACCAATATTGTATGAGTTAGTGAACTGATTCCTATTTCAAGATTTAGTGACTAATTGGTGATTACCAAATATCGAGTTTTTTTTTTATAGGATAAGGGTGACAAACGAGCACACAATCCACCTGATGGTAAGTGGTTGATGCGGCCCATAGACATCTACATCTATCCTCTATTACAAATCAAAATGTAGATGCGTTGTCACCCGTGAGGACTAAGATGGAATGCCTCATTTCAAGTAAAAAGGGCCTCCGGCCACCTGCATTCACCAAGCGAAACGCAGAGGTAAACCTCTACTTCACGCTGGTATTCTGTGAGGTCGTGGTACCACCCCGGTTCGAGCCGGCCCATCCGTGCGACAGCAAAAGCTGCCGCGTGGCTCTACCACTGTTTAAAAAACTTTGTTTGAAACATATCGCTCCATCCAAACCGGAGGTATTCAAATACCCTACGGAGGATTCCGACTTGAAGACACTACGGTATCAGTCTTTATGTCTTTCGCAACGTTCTTCTCTTAGGATGTTTTAAAATTTTTCGATAAAAGGGACTAAAAATTGCCGCAAACCTTATCAAGAAAGAGATCATTCAGGAAAATCTGTAACAAAGCATGACCATTGAGAGCTCGGTATCTGTTGTCGACATACCAAGTATTCGAACCAAACGTTAAACGTTCGTAATGCATGCAACAAAGGATTGGAATGATATGCCGGCGTTTGTTTTTCCATACGATTAGAATCCAATTTGGGAAAGAAAAACAGCTCCCCGCCTTAACTTTTAAATGATATCATTTAAAAGTATCTCGGTTCGAACGGGTATATAAAAAGTAACGTAATCCTATAAGTGTTCCATTTTTATCTTTTAAGCCCTAAAAACCACAAAGCCTGTGTTAGTATTTGTATTAGTTCTAGTATTAATTATGATATTAGCTCTAGAATGTTATATTTTGGGGATTTTTTAAAAATAGAATATGTAGAATAGAATAATATTTATTTAGCTATTCTTATTGAGTCATTTTTTTACTTTACCACTGGTTCGAAAAAAAAAACCTCTGCCCTGGGAAGAACCAGCAAGAAACCCAGTGGGACTTTTTTTAAAAGTAAATTTTACATACACTCTATTTACAAAATTTATTTTAGAAACAGCTTGGAAGCGACTACCTCATTCCCTGGTGTTATTATGAACCATGTATTCATTTATATTATAATAACCCTTTTTATATTTAATCTTGGTAATAGAGAGACATTGTATATTTTTAGTTGTAATAGCGTATACATTGCCCCAAGAATGAATTACTGACACTGTGGATTCGAGAAACTGATATCACTTGCTTGTGTGATTATAAACCCAAGTAATTTTCCTTGTTTCTTTTTTTAAATTCAAGAAAACGTAAAGGTATTTTACGCATCCGTCAACAGGCTTTTACTCTGCGCTATCTTATATTTGTGGGAACATTGCCAGATGTTGGTTAAGGAAGAAAACTTTTGGGTAAAATATTTTTGTAAGTATTTGTTATATATTTTTACGTTCTTAGTTTAACTATTAACTGCATAAATTGAAGTATTTTTATTTTACCATAAAATTTTTAGATATGACATTGTTTAAAAAAGGAATGGAGAGGTGAAATAATTAAACGATTTCATCTATACATCTACTTATACGTATAAATAAAAAAACTGACTTCTATTAAGCTCATGCATGCTATTATGATCTGTAAGTAACCATTTCTAAAATCTGTCTGTCTTCTGTCTGTCTACATAGCTAACCGATTGTGATGAAACTTTGTTTAAGACTAGAGAGTATTGCCAGTATCTACGCTATATTTTATTCACAAAACTTTAATATTTTTTTAAAAAAAAAACTTTTTTTAAGTAAATGACCTATGATTATCTTAAATATAAATAACACCATATTGATAAATCCTATCCAGGCGAAGCCTGAGCGGATCGCTAATATAAAACAAAGTTGACTTATTGTCATGTGGTTAGATAACTCATCTGATTCGCGTATGAACACCATAATAGAAACCCGACGGTCGGACACGAGCCAGTCTATTATCAGTCATCATCATCATCAGTAATCACAATTCATCATCATAACCAGTCCTCTTCTATAAGTATAGCTCGCGGCCTGAAAAAACCCTGAGTTCGATTTAGCTGTAAAAGCCAGCAGGCTAGCAGCACTTACATAACATAATATAAATTGCCGTTTAATAAAAGTATATAATATGGTATGGTGCAATGTTTTCAAACGATATAGAATAAATAAATGTCTAGAGCGGTCATTTATTAAATTATGTAAAACAAATGCGCGCTATAAAACTGTAAACAGGAAAATTCTCGACCGGCATTCATGTCGCCCATCGCGAGAATTAAGTCAAGGATTCGAGGATTTGACAATTGACTTCATGGAAATCTTGGGTCACTAGTGAGGCGGGGGCCGGGTGGTTAGTGGGATGCTGTGGGTGAAATGTCAAGGCCGAAGCGCCGCCTCGATGTCGCTGTTTAATGCCTCGCCTCGAGACGTGTTTCAAGATTTACTGAAGATTTTTTTTTTATCAACTAACCGTGTTGAAGTAATACGTCGAGACGTTTGCGTTAGCTGATGAAGGGTGAAACAATGCTTCTTTATGTGTTCAGTGTAAGTGTCTGAAAGTAGTAAATTACATATGTCTTACGTAAATGGATAAGTTCACGGATTACTTAGGTTGTTTCTTTAGAAAAGAAGTTACAACATATACGTTAATAGTTTTTGTATACCGTGCCAAAAATAGTTAATTTGAACACTTCTGTCACCACGTTGGTATCTGTCTGTCATAGGCTTATTTTTTAAATACCATTTCGCAAATGTTATTCTTATCTATACAAATAAATAAAATCGAAGTGTCTGTTTGAAATGTCAAAATAACAGCTTTTTACTAAATGCGTAATATGAAAGTATATATACGGTACTTATAATTACTTATATTAGGTCTGTTTGTTTTTTTCCGGCTAATATTCGAAATGGCTGGACCGATGTTAATGGGAATTTCACTGGCAGATAGTAAAAGGAGTATCTTAGGCTCTTTTTTTTTGAAAAAGAATTAGGGTTCCACGCAAAAAATAAATCCCAAGAAATCCATTTGAACTAAATTCTACGCGGACGAATTCGCGGGGTGCAGCTAGTTAAGAATAATTATATTAATATGAAATGTAAAATAAAACCGTTACCGTGTAGTGGCGGTCAAGAATACCACTACCCCATATCCTCCCGTGGGTGTCGTAAAAGGCGACAAAGGGAAACAGGCAGGAGATGGGCAGCAGCATCTTCCTGATAATAGCCAAAATTACAATAAAAAAACTGCGGTTGCCAACCCGCTCGCCAAGCGTGGCAACTATGGCAAATACCCCCCTATGAATGTAACAAAGAGACGGCCCCCAGTCCCCGGCGGCCCCGCTATTCCTGGCTACGGTGGCGACCATGGTAATGGCGGGGCAGGGGGTGCTAAGAATCTCCGGTGGAGGTTCGGTTGCCACCTTAGACGACTCGACCTGGCAACGTACAACGCACGCACCCTGAGGACTGACGAGAAGATCGTGGAGCTGGAAGAAGAGATAGACAAGTTGCGCTGGCATATTATAGGATTATAGGATTCCGAAGTCCGAAGAGAGGGGGAGGACACGGTAATCCTCGAATCCGGCAACTTGCTCTATCACCGGGAGGGCGACCATCTGTCCCAAGGAGGTGTCGGATTTATCGTCCACAAGTCTCTCGTTAACAACGTTGTAAAGATCGGGAGTGTGTCGACGAGGGTTGCGTACCTTATACTCAGAATCACCAAACGGTATTCGCTGAAGGTCATACAGGTTTACGCACCAACCTCGGCACACCCCGATGGGGAGGTGGAGGAAATGTATGAGGATATCTCTAGAGCCATGCATTCCTCCAAAGCCCAATATACGGTGTTAATGGGAGACTTCAATGCAAAACTAGGCACAAGAGAGAACGGTGAGCTGAAAGTAGGGAAATTTGGAATAAGGCAACGGAACCCAAGGGGCCAGCAGCTGGCCGACTTCATGGAGAAAGAGGGACTCTTTATGATGAACTCTTTCTTCCAGAAGCGGCCCCACAGGAAGTGGACCTGGTCGAGCCCCGACGGTTCGACAAAAAATGAGATTGACTTCATTATGACGACCAGACGACAACTGTTCAGTGATGTCTCCGTGATCGCGAGGGTGAAAACTGGTAGCGATCACCGAATGGTTAGAGGCACACTGAACCTAAACGTTAAGTTGGAGAGGTCTCGTCTAATGAAGTCAACGCTCCGTCCCCCTCGTGCTCTGTTCCAAAGTCCCGAAACCTTTCAGCTCGAGTTACAAAACCGTTTTCAGTGCCTAGAAGACTGCAATGAAGTGGACGATATGAATGACAAGCTCGTGGAAACTGTCCATGCGGTCGGAGCTAAGTTCTGCAAGACCCGCCGCAGAAGAACACAAAAACTCTCCGATCACACTCTTAATCTCATGGCTGTTAGACGGGAGATGAAGCTACATTCTTCAACAGACTTGACAGCATACAGGCATCTGAACAGACAGATCTCCAAATGCATGCGGCGGGACTTACGCAACTTCAATACAGCTCGTATTGAAGAAGCGATCGAGCGGAACCAAGGCTCCAAAGTCTTTGCCAGAGATCTGTCTGCTAGAAAGAGCCACCTGTCAAAGCTGAAGACAGAATGTGGCAGCATCGTTTCCGGGACACCTGAGATTTTGAGTGAGATTGAGAGGTTCTATGGGCTGCTGTACACGTCATCGTTGGAGCCACACGCAAGTGTGAGTAGCGATCCAAGAGCGAGTCTCATCCGACACTATTCCGAAGATATCCCGGACGTCCCCACTCCATGGTGGCATTACACCGGAGGCGTGGAGCAGAAGTGCGGTGGTCTTGTTCTTCCAGAAAGGTGACAACGCTCTCTTGAAGAACTACAGACCGATTTCCCTTCTAAGCCGCGTCTACGTGCTGTTTTCGAGAGTTATTACGAATCGTCTCGCGCGCAGACTTGACGACTTCCAGCCTCCCGAACAAGTCGGTTTCCGAAAGGGCTTTAGCACCATAGACCACATACATACCCTTCGGCAAATTGTACAGAAGTCCGAAGAGTACAATTTGCCACTATGTCTGGCGTATGTGGACTATGAGAAAGCCTTTGATTCCGTCGAAATTTGGGCGGTGCTGCAGTCCCTTCAGCGGTGCCAAGTTGACTGTCGGTATATCGAGGTGTTGAAGTGCTTGTACAGTAGGGCTACGATGGCTATCCGAGTACAGAACCAGAGTACGAAACCTATCCAATTGCAGAGAGGTGTAAGACAGGGTGACGTCATATCCCCGAAACTCTTCACCGCTGCATTGGAAGACGTTTTCAAGCTTCTGGACTGGAAAGGATACGGTATCAACATCAATGGCGAGTACATCACTCACCTTCGATTTGCCGACGATATAGTCCTTATGGCAGAATCGCTGGAGGACCTAAGCACTATGCTCAATGACCTCGATAGTGTTTCCCAACGGATAGGTCTTAAGATGAACATGGACAAAACAAAGATCATGTTCAATGTCCATGTCACACCTATGCCGGTAGTTGTTGGGAGCACTAAGCTCGAAGTTGTTGACGAGTATGTTTACCTGGGACAAATAGTCCGACTAGGTAAGTCCAACTTCGACCGAGAGGTCAATCGACGGATTCAACTCGGCTGGGCAGCGTTCGGGAAGCTACGACACATCTTCTCGTCAGACATACCTCAAAACCTGAAAACGAAATTGTACAACCAGTGCGTGTTGCCAGTGATGACTTATGGAACTGAGACGTGGTCCTTCACTGCTTGCCGTATGAGGAAGCTCAAGGTCGCTCAGCAAGCTATGGAGAGGGCTATGCTCGGAGTTTCTCTGCGTGATAAACTTAGGAATGAGGATATCCGCAGTAGAACCAGAGTAACCGACATAGCCCAACGGATTAGTAAGCTGAAGTGGCAGTGGGCCGGCCATATAGCTCGAAGAACCGACAACCGATGGGGAAGAAAGGTTCTCGAGTGGCAGCCTCGTACCGGTAGGCGAAGTGTAGGGCGTCCCCCCACGAGATGGAGTGACGACCTGGTAAGACATGCAGGAAGTCGATGGATGCAGGTGGCTCAGGACCGTGCTTTGTGGCATTCTTTGGGGGAGGCCTATGTTCAGCAGTGGACTTGTGAAGGGCTGTAATGATGATGATGATGATGTAAAATAAAAGTCATTATTGAGGTTATTACTACGTACTTTTAACGCACTTATTACTACGTCAGATATAGTATGATTATTGTGTGAAGAAAAGGCTGTTTGCTATCTTAAAACTATCCATGCTATTTTTTAAAAAATATACAAATATTGATAAAAAATAAAATGTGAATCGAAAATATCAGAACTGTTTTATTTTTATGGTTTTTTAAACATATTTAGTTAATATATATTCAAATGTTTATTAATAATACCACTATCATAGTAAAATTAATATTTTTTTTATGGAACAGCAGGCAAACAAGCATACGGCTCACTAATAAGTGATCACCGTCGCCCACGAACATCTGCAACACCAGGGCAAATACAGCTGCGTTGCTAGCCCATTAAAAAGGGGTAAGGTTCTTTTCGTGAAGGTCCCTAATTCGTATCGGTCCGGAAAAACGAGTGGCATTAAGGTCTACAGTGTGGTCGTGTGAGGTAGAAAAATCTGCATAAATTGCACGGTAGTGGACCGCCGGCCATCGGATGATGACGATGGAATTTCGAGTTCGATCACAGTGAACGATGGTAGAGTTCAGCTGCTGGAATTAATCCGAACTAATCCATTCTACCATCGATCGATGGCATCGATCGATCGGTGTGGAAGAAACTATCGATCGAATTCCACTAATCCAATCCATCTTCGATCTATTTTTTTTTTTTTTTTTTATAATATAAGGGTGACAAACGAGCACACAGTCCACCTGATGGTAAGTGGTTGCTGCGGCCCATAGACATCTACATCTATCCTCGACTATGAATCAAAATGCAGATGCGTTGTCACCCGTAAGGACTAAGATGGAATGCCTCATTTCCAGTAAAAAGGGCCTCCGGCCACCTGCACTCACCAAGCGAAACGCAGAGGTAAATCTCTACTTCACGCTGGTTTTCTGTGAGGTCGTGGTACCACCCCGGTTCGAGCCGGCCCATCCGTGCGACAGCAAAAGCTGCCGCGTGGCTCTACCACTGTTGTGTTGTGTTACCATTGGTGTGGTACCTAACGCTGCGTGGATCTATCCGGTGTATGTAAATAGTTTGCTTCATTAATAAAAATAAAAATTTTACTACAGTTGGTTTCATCGTAAATTAAACATGAAAAGGAATTTCTACTTAGGGGACAATTAAATTCAACTTGACCCATTTTGCTATGTCTCGACGCATTTAATTTTATTGGATATCGTATCGACGGGCAATGAAGCGGATCAAGTATGGCCATCGCTTCCGGTTTGCCTCCGTTCGGCGTGCTTTGCATAATTGAGACGTTAGTGACGTAACTGAATCGTCCCATGACGTCGACGCATATTTCCGAAGTGTAATAAAATTAACCGTTACAGATTATAAAAAGTCGACGGCTGAAAATGAGCATCTTCTATTTATTCGATATATGCCATAGTTGTCACGCTTGGCAGTCTGGTTGGCAACCGCAGTTTACTTTCGTTGTTATTAGCAAGAAGCTGCTAACCAACTCCTGATTTGTTTCCCTCTGTCACCTCCTACGACACCCATGGAAAGATATGGGGTAATGGATATTCTTGCACCGCCTCTACACGATCACAATAAAATTTAACTATTATTTTCTCTTAGCCAATGTTTTTTTTATAGGATAGGGTGGACAAACGAGCACACAGTCCACCTGATGGTAAGTGCTTGCTGTAACCCATAGACATCTACATTTATCCTCAATAAAGAATCAAAACACAGATACCGTGTAACCCGTGAGAACTAAGATGGGACGGCTCTTTTTCAGTAAAAAGGGTCTCCGGTTCTCTACATTAACTATACGAAACACACCAGTGTTAAGCCACTATTTTAACGCTGGTATTCTGTGAAAGCATAGTCCTTCCCCGGTCGAGCCGACCCATTCGTGCTACAACTATACTACTAATATAGCTGCAGCATGGCTCTACCACGTAAAAAAATGTTAAAATTTATAAGTAAGAGCATTATAATACTGATAGTATACGACAGGTCATTATGCTCGTTATTATTTTTACCATATCAATAGTGGCGGGATAACCCTCTACCCATTTCATGCCGTGGGCGTCGTGTGAGGCGATAGAGGGACATGAAACGGGTGATGGGGAGCGCCATATTCCTGACAACAACTCAAGGTAATAAAAAACTGCAGTTGCCTATCCTCTTGTCAGTCAGTCATGACAAATTACTAAGGTTACTAAGGTAATCTATTTTGGTGGACATTTGAAAGGCCGAAAAAAATGCATGGGTAAGTTGCAAATGACCCATGTTTTTTACTAAATCAACTGCGGCATTTGATCACTCAGTCTATTTGATAGTAAGCATTGAGTTATATGTCGTAGTACTAGAGAAGCTATTCCAAACAAAAGTTGTGCGCTACTCATGTCTTCGCGCATGTGCGGGAGATAGTAGAGCCGCACATGCGCGAAGACTTTAATTTAATATAAAATAAGATATTAATATAAAATAAATATAAGAATTTAATATAAAACACTCTTATTTTAATGTAAACAAACATATTTCTAAATAAAATGTAATAATAATTATTTTGTGGAATTCACAAATCTTCAATTATTTACGCAATATTTAGTTTAGTGTACGGATTGCAGTACAGTTCAGTTGAACATAGACAATGTTCGGAATGCGAAATCTAGTGCGTAGTACACATATTACATCGATGATGGTAAGTGGGTGTTGAGGCGTGTAAATCTATAGTCGCTTAGGAATTTCAATGTAGATTCGTTGTCGCCACTAAGGATTAAGATGAGATGTATCAGTAACATAAAAAGGTTTCCAGTCCTCATTACAATACCAAACAGCAGATTTATATTGGTATTTTACGTAAAATAGCCGGTCGCATTAATCTATCGCAGTGCTGATTTAACGCGTAGAACATTTATAACGATGGCTTAACGGTTAGGAATCCGTCTGTCTATCCTGTAATGTTTTTTATTTTAATTTTTTTTATTTTATTTCATAGATTGCTTTAATAATGAATTAAATGGATTGATATAATTAAATGCAAAAAAAAATATTCTTCTTTTAATTCTATGGCTACCTTTTCAAAATTTTGGCCCATTTTATTTTTACTCAATTTGTATTATTCTAAAATATTTTCAGAAAAGGTACTAACCCATATCGTCCCGAGCGTGTCGTAAGAGGCAACAGAGGGAAAATGAAACAGGAGATGGAATCCACATAATAAAAAAACTGCGGTTGCCAACCCGCTTGCCAAGTGTGACAACTATGGCAAAATCACCCCATGAGGTAATCTATGATGGAGGTCTATGTTCAGCGTTGTGCTTTTATAGGCTGTAATAGACGAATGGATGACGTTGATAAATTATCATCTCTGAAGAGTGTAAACAATAACCTGCTGAAAATCTTTAGTCCCATTTTCGTGGAAAATTCTATCCATGCAGTGCTATCACGATGTCTCGAGATTACTTCCGAGTCATCATCTAGTAGTAGGACCGGTTACTCGACTTCATAGAGGTTCTTTTTTTCCTAAGCAGTGGTAAATAAAACAAAAGTGTGACGGTCAATGAGTATTATTTACAATCTATATCGAATAAAAAAGTTTCCGTTTCTGTTTCTGTCCCCTCCACATCAGGGGTTACATTAATTTATGCTTTCGGGACCATTACGAGATCACAGAAAGCGACTAAAGGCTTCCACGCCGAAATTAACATATGGACAATACTTCGGAATGGTTGAACCGAATGGAGATTAAAAGAAAAGATTGATAAAATAAATAGTCTGAAAAAATAAATAATGTTTTTTTTTTTATAGGATAAGGGTGACAAACGACCACACAGTCCACCTGATGGTAAGTGGTTGCTGCGGCCCATAGACATCTACATCTATCCTCTGTTACAAATCAAAATGTAGATGCGCTGTCACCCGTGAGGACTAAGATGGAATGCCTCATTTTCAGTAAAAAGGGCCTCCGGCCACCTGCACTCACCAAGCGAAACGCAGAGGTAAGCCTCTACTTCACGCTGGTTTTCTGTGAGGTCGTGGTACCACCCCGGTTCGAGCCGGCCCATCCGTGCGACAGCAAAAGCTGCCGCGTGGCTCTACCACTGTAAGCTCCACCACACAACCACTCTACAGCTGTCACAGTTTCTCAAATTATCCAGGATTGACTGGTAGTGAATGCCATAACGCAAGTCCGCCATTTATATCTCTTACTATAAAGTGTATAATAAATAAATATTAAATAAACCAGTGGTAAAATTAAAAATTTTGTACAACCGACTTCAATATAAATATAATTTATTGTTGATTTTTTAAAACCTCTCGACCGATTTCAATAAAATTTAAATGGGACCACCTGAGAAGTAGTTTTAAACAAAAAAAAAGAATTTTCCAAATCGATTCAGGAGCCTTCGAGTAATTGGTGTACACACATAAAAAAAAAAGATTCCGACGAATTGTAAACCTCTCCTCCTTTTTGAAGTTGTTGATAAATAATAAACAAGGCGAAGCCGGGTCGGATCTCTAGTTAAAAGTAAAAATATAAGAAAAATAAAAAAGATGTCATGTGATGATAAATGTTATATATTATGTCACAGTAATGAGTTCACGTCCTTACGTGAGTACAGAATACAGAATACAGTTATTTTTAATTTATGAACAAAAGAGATCGCTGTGTGTGAAATGTTCACGCCCGCAGAAATGTACGGTTTTAATATACTGAACATATATTTTATGGGAGTGAGCAATTGGCCAGAACTACTTACAGTAAACTCCTGATTATCTCATTTTTATGTCCGATAAAATAAGCCTGCACGGTTTCTTGCTAGTTCTTTCCAGGACATGAGTATTTTCCGAACCACCCATAAATAAAATATATATTATGTAATAATTTATATTGAACATGAAAAATTCTATTCTATTCTCTCACGTCGTCTGCATGTCAAAACAATTTGTCGTGCGTAACTACAGTGATTTTTTTTTAGAGAGGGGTTTGGTCACTTAGAAACAGTGACGTTTTAATTTTTGCTTATAATATTATAAGTCTCAAACGACCTGATACTACGTAGATACTACAGCTTATAGACATCTGTAACCAACCTATAACAATGATTGTCCTCACAAGGAAAATTGTACTAGTTCTCCATACCCATTTAAATTGGAATGCAGCAGTGCAGCTGTTGCTTATCAGCAGATGTTATTAAGTTAGTAAATGACGTCAAAACAACAATAAAGGTCAGTAGTGCAAATGTTGTTATTAATAAATATAGCAAGTCCGTCAACTGCGCTACTCATAAAATGATGTTGCGATCCCTTGATCAAAATAAATGTATTCTCTGCTTAAAGAAAAAAGAGCAGTAAAATTGGATAATTTTCATTGTTATAATAAAAATTGTTTTCTTTTTTATAGAAGAGGCATGAGCATGCGGCTCCACTGATAATCAGCGTCGACTGCCGCCCATGAACAACTGCAACATCAGCGGAATTGCAGGTTTTTCAGCCTTTTAAAAAGGGATGAAGCTCGTTTCTTGAACAGTACCTAATTCGTATCGGTCTGGAAAATCGCCGGTGGTTAACGATTCCACAAATAAGTACCTAATGCGAGGTAGAAAACTACTAATACGCACAGCAGCGTACCGCTAAACATCCTGATGGTGTGGTTGGTATCGTGGGTTCTGTGACAATGTGCGTTTGTGGGTTTGGCGGTTGGAATTAATCCAAACAATTCCGCTGAGCACTCCCTGGTCAATACGATAGAAAATGAAAAGGGATGCAAGATCTTTTCGCAGCGCCAGTGACTCGAGTCGATTACAAAGAAATCTAATGAAAATGGTATCTAATATTAGTACATGCAACGCCATCTATTAACACAAAGCGGAGTTGCATTCGCTAAAAGCTTTTCGTAGGCTGCAAGTACGGAAGTAGGTTAGCGTTCGCGTTCAAAGTCGAGTTGTTAGTGTTTAGTGGCATTTAGACCGTTAGTGGGTGACTGGCTTTCTAGCTTTTTCTGTTTAGGGTTTTCTGCGAACGTAATTGTGTGTTTACTCGGCTGTCTAAGTGCTCGTTAGACACGAGAGGATGCTTAGAAAAAAATAGACAGAGATAACAACGTCGTGGAACATGCATTTAATTAAATGCTTGATGATGAAACACAATGTATTGGGGCGGGGTTCAGTGATCTTGACAAATAGCAGGCTCTTGTATTACAGGTCGCGGCGGCTCAAAATTTATGCCAAACGCGCCACTTCACAACACGTCGTTTTAGATAGGTTCAGGTTGCCTCGTTGGTCTAGTGGTCGTGAACGCGGTTGCTGATCGTGAGGACCCGGGTTCGAATCGTTAATTGGTTAAAAATATATTATTGGGTTTTTTTGTCATGTTTTACACCTGTGCCTCGGAAAGCAGGTAAAGCCGATGGTCCTGCGCCTGATCTTTCTCCGGTCATGTCGGTTTACCGTCCCATCGGACTATGAAAGTGAGGGAGTGGAGAGTGCACTTGTGCTTGCGTATACACTCGGGCGCTATAATCTTGTCATGCGCAGATGGCTAGTCTCCGTTCATGCTGGCCGCCGTGACCGAAATTCCGTCTGGAGGACATTATTTCTTATACGTGGTAGAGCCGTGCTGCAGCTATATTAGTAGTACAGTTGTAGCATGAATGGGTCGGCTCTACCGGGGAAAGACCACGCTCTCACAGAGTACCAGCGTAAAATGGTAGCTTAACGCTGCTGTGTTCGGTATTGAGAGTGTATAGAGACATATGAAGTGGTATTTTACAGTTGCTTAGGCTGGTACTTTACATTTAAATAAAACTAACTTTTACGGATTTTATCGCGTATATTAACTTATTTAATATTCCCGAGGCGACGTTTCGAGCAGATTACAAGACTGGTCACGGGAGGGACTTAGGTGTTCATCGTCCCAATCTCATGAGTTAACCATGGCTACCATAGTTTTATTTAAATGTATAGTATTCGCGTAAACATTATAAATTATTATGTTACAGACAAACACTCATACACAAACGAAGATACAGGCACCACAAACCGGACAACTACAACAAAATAAACAACAACAAGCTAACAGTCTCCCATCACGGCTGGTCCCCGCGGGAGTACTAGACCACTACCTTCCAACTAAAAGATGTGAGGTACTTCATATCGCAACACTAAACACGAGAACCCTTAGAACTCACGAAAGTTTGCTAGAATTAGAAAAATCATTAGAAAACATAAAATACGACATACTAGGTATATGTGAAATGCGAAGACTGGGAGAAAAAATAGAAGACCACGGCAGCTACATACTGTACCATAAAGGAGAAACTGCTGGTTGTAGAGGAGTTGGTTTTTTAATAAAACAGTTACTGAGAACATGTATACAAGAATTGATAGGAATATCTGATAGATTAGCAATACTAAATGTAAAACTACCAGGATATAAGAAACCTTGGTCTATCATACAGGCATATGCGCCCACTGAAAACTCAGACCTATCAGTGCTCGAAGCTTTCTATTATAAGATATCTTTAGCTATAAAAAACAACACCGACAAACATATAATCTTAATGGGGGATTTCAATGCACAAATTGGGGCTAGACAAAATAATAGTGAGTACGTACTTGGCAAGTTCGGACATGGAAAAAGAAGTCGCAACGGACAGAAACTAGTTGAATTTCTAATGGAGCATAACCTATCAGCATTAAATACTAACTTTAATAAGAACAAATATAATAAATGGACATGGATTTCCCCGGATGGTTCTTATAAAAACGAAATTGATTATATAATAACCAACTACCCAAGAGCTTTCACCGACACTACTGTTATAAGCAATTTGAACTTTAACACAAACCATCGTATGGTACGCTGCTCTCTTAGAAAATTCCAAACAAAAATATCTCGCAATCATATTAAAAACAATATGATTAAATTGCCAAGTCAACCTTGCCTGATGAAGTGCAACCCGTTCAAAGAAACAAACGAACATATAACAAGCGATGAAATAGAAACAACACTGAAATATGATATACTAGAAAACGAATTGCAAAGCTTGTATATCTCAAAAAATTACGCACACAAACCTAATAAGTATCAACTAAGTGAGCATACCTTACAACTAATCGGAGAAAGAAAGGAGCTTATAGCTATCCAAGCAAAAAAAGAAAATATAAAGCTGGTTGCAGATTTAAGCAAAAGAATAAGAGAAAGTATACGCAAAGATCGCAAGGTCAAGAGGTTGAAAACATTCGAGCACTACATACAAAAAAAGGGGGGTGTGAAAAAAGCTCTGAAAGAACTGCGAGAAGTAGGCAAAGAATGGATACCCAAACTAAAGGATAAGTCGAATACTACCACGATACGACAGAATATCAAAGATCTAGCCACAAGTTTCTACCGTCAACTGTATGCTAGACAGCACCAAATTACAATAGGTCACCACAGAAGAGTGCTCACTCAACATATTGATGAAGGGAAATCAGAGCCTGTGCCGGACATCCTATTGTGTGAAGTCGAAAAGGCAATTAAGAGTCAAAAGATGGAGAAGTCCCCGGGACCAGACAAAATTACCAACGAACTTATGAGGGGAAATATAGAAGAACTGACTCCAATTCTTACAAAGATTTTTAACGAAATCTTAACAAGTAGGCAAATTCCAAAACAATGGACTAAATCTCACGTAATTCTACTATACAAAAAAGGCAATAAGGAAAACATAGAAAACTATAGACCGATAAGCCTTATGTCAAACGTATACAAAGTTTTTGCAAAAGTAATGCTAGACAGAATTAGCAAACTGTTAGATGAACAACAGCCAGTCGAACAAGTAGGTTTTAGGAAAGGATTTTCAACAATTGACCATATACATACGATCAAACAGGTACTAGAAAAATATAACGAATACAATAAAAACATTTATGTAGCTTTTATTGACTATGCCAAGGCCTTCGACAGCTTAAACCATGAATACATATGGGAAAGTCTAAATCAACAAGGAATACCAAGCGTGTATACTAAAATAATAAAGAACATCTACGCAGACAGTAAGGCCAGAATCCAGTTAGAAACTTTGGGGGATGAATTTAGCATACAAAGAGGTGTGAGGCAGGGAGACCCTTTATCCCCAAAATTGTTCTCTGCTGTGTTAGAAAATATCTTCCGCAACCTACACTGGGATAAGTATGGCATCAATATAAACGGGTCAAAACTACATCATTTAAGATTTGCAGACGACCTGGTATTAATTGAAGAACGTCCCGAAAATCTCGAGTATATGATAAATAACTTAAATGAAGAAAGCATAAAAGCTGGACTAAAAATGAACACTAACAAGACCAAAATAATGACAAACAGCACAAAATCTAACATCACAATAAACGGCGATTCTCTAGAATATGTGAAAGATTACATATACCTGGGTCAAGTAATTTCCATAGAAAATCAAATACCGAAAGAAATTAATCTCAGGATCGCAACAGGTTGGAAGAAATACTGGTCATTAAAAGAGATCGTGAAGTCCAAAGACTTAAGCATGTCAATAAAAAGAAAAACATTTAATACTTGCATTTTACCTTGTCTAACATACGGATGCGAAACCTGGACCCTCACAAAAGCATTAAGAGAAAAACTTGCAGTAGCACAGAGAGCAATGGAGAGGAGTATGACCGGCTATAAAAGACAGGATAAGATCAGAAATATTGACCTAAGGAATTTAACAAAACTTACCGACATACTCGAACGAATCGATCAACAGAAGTGGAGATGGTCAGGACATATGGTGCGTGACAAAATGGGAAAGTGGAGCAGGAGAGTAACAGAATGGTATCCAAGAGACAGTAAAAGAAGACGAGGAAGGCAGCACACAAGGTGGGAAGATGAAATAAGACTTACAGCAGGACCAAACTGGAGAAGGGTTGCTCAAGATAGACAACAATGGAAATCGTTGGAGGAGGCCTTTGCCAATAGGCACGCCGAACTAAGAGACATTTTGTAGTTAGTAGATTATTTTATTTTAGTTATAATGTTAAATGTTATTAGATCGGAATAAAGGGCTTTATTATTATGTTAATTTACATTTGGTGATCATTTAGGGACTCGTGGTGATAGCGATAAGCGTGGTAAAGGCCATTAGATTGCCATAAAAAATTATACGATAGATTATTATCAAAGGACATTTTCAATAAGTAGCTGTTAGAACTCCTTTTATGTCCAGGTGTCCGTCTGTATGGGTGCCATCAGATAGACTGTAAGTTCGTTTATTACTTCAGTTAATAAAAAAAAGAATTATCACAAGTGGTCAAATTAAAAAATTTTGTACACCCGACGAGCAATCCGTCACCGGTCAAGTTCCCGCCAAAACTGCTATATACCTATATAGATAATACTTCTAAAACATAAGAAGATAATTTTTTTTCATATAAATAAAATTGACGTGCCTGTCTGTAATAATAAAATAACTGGCTTTTCTTAAACTCAGACGGTTATTTGCATGCTATCAAGGCATAAAAAACTATTTTTAAAATTTTTGTATGTGTCCGGGCTAATCTTCGAAATTGGTAAACCAATTGTGATGAAACTTTACGAATAGATAGTGAGAAATGCCAGGAGGAATATATTTTAATCGAAATACTTGAAGATTTTTTATTGAAGAAACGAAAAATGATTAAACAAATGGTCTTCTTGTATTGTCTTATGTAAGTTATTCACTTACATCTAAACAACGCTACGTTAACTGATGCTATCCAGGCGAAGCCGGGGCGGGTCGCTAGTATAGGAAATAAAGGACTAATGTGGTTTGTAATCTTATCCCAACGCAACGGCACGTTTACGACTAGTCGTCGGCGAGACCGGCTACGCATGGCGACTACGTAATCCGTCGATCGTAAAACTTACGCCACTGTTCGTAACGACGGATTTAAAGTCGCTTGGGCAGATATACCGCGTTTATTTGCACTTTACAATTAAATCGAGCATTTTATAGGTGGGAGGAACAATAAACTGCTTGTGTGGTTTCATTTAAACCATACGAAAATTCAAATAGCTTAGGCCAGTAATAAATTGAAACGGAGAATATTAGAGAGATATAATTGATAAAAACGGGATGCTTTGAACTACTTGATTCCCAACCGGCCAAGTTCGGGTGGTTAAAACCCTACTATTATTAATTTGCAATTGGAATTTTGTTACAAAAACATACTATAAAATGGATAATATATTGAGGACAAAGAAGTGTAAAAATAGCTCTTTCTCTGCACTTGCAGGTTACTATTTTTTATAGAATAAGGGCGACGAACGAGCACACAATCCACCTGATGGTAAATGGATGTCCATAGACATTTGAACTGAGTAAATGGCCCAAATATGAGTCTCTGAGAGATACATATTTGTGCCATTTGCTGTAGAGACTATCGGTCTACGTGCGGTGAAGTTCCTAAAGGAACTCCATCCGTGACTTGTCGGTGATGCTGGTGATAATAGGGCTGGTTCTTTTCTCGTTCAAAGGCTAAGTATAGCCATTCAGCGAGGAAACGCAGCCAGAGTTCTTGGCACGATAACGCGGGGAGTAGGACTGTATGATAAATAAGTTACTAGTTTTAGTTTTTTGTTATTGTATATTTTTATAGGATAGGGTGACAAACGAGCACACAGTCCACCTGATGGTAAGTGGTTGCTGTGACCCATAGACATCTACATTTATCCTCACTAAAGAATCAAAGTGCAGATGCGTCGTCACCCGTGAGGACTAAGATGGAATGGCTCTTTTCCAGTAAAATGGGTCTCCGGTTCTCTACACTCACCATACGAAACACAGCAGTGTCAAGCTGCCATTTTATGTTGCTATTCTGCGAGAGCGTGGTCGTTCCCCGGTCGAGCCGACCCGTACGCGCTACATTCTAATCATTATATAAATAAAAGATAATCATTTTAAATCTCGCCTCGGTTAAAATCAAAAGGCAGAAAGCGTTGCCACCCTTGAGGCCTCGTTTCCAGTAAAATGGGTCTCCGGTTCTCTACACTCACCGTACGCGAGACGATACGATATTCTAAGAGATAAATATTTTAAAAAAAATAGGAATATTGTGGTTACGTCACTACTGGGAAATAAAATAGAATGCCTAGTTGTAAATAGCAAAAGCGTCTTCGGCTTTCTTGACGCACAATAAGAAATAATCTATATTATCCAGGGATTTTACGATGGGGTTCTAAGAGCGGGGTCCTTCCAGGTCGAGCCGACTTATTTTTGCCTAACCAGAAAGTAGTCCTCTATGGTTGCGACGCTGTGAGGATGCAGGTTTTCTAACTAACAATTATTACCACAAATACATTTATTACACAAATGGTTGTTTGTCCAATTGTTGTGCAATTTATATATATGTAGATAGCTTGTGGCTCAGGAATGTGTTTTGTAGAATCCTTGGGGAGGCTTTTGTTCAGCGGTGGACTAATTATGGACTATAATAATAATGATATTGATGACATCATTGATATAAAAAAATAAAAAAACAAGATACGTGTGTATCTAGCTTTCAAATTTTTTACCCCAGAGAAACTAATCAAGAGTTGGGCAACAGCGTCTTTTTTATATGATAAGGGTGACGAACGAGGACACGGTCCACCTGATGGTAAGTAGTTGCTGTAGCTCATAGACATCTATATCTATCCTCGATTACGAATCAAAATGCAGATGCGTTGTCACCCGTGAGGACTAAATTGGAATACCTCGTTTCCAGTAAAAAGGGTCTTTCTAATAACCATGACAAATATCCCCCTATGAGATTGCCTTATGGGCTTCCCCTATTCCCTTTCCTATGTTCACCAGTGGACTTTGATAGGTTGTAACGGTAAGATATGTTAGCAAAATCGGTAGTACTTATACCCATATACCTAGTCAGGTCATAAATTCTGTCACATGTAGGGTTACCATATCTCAGGATTTGTCCTGAGATTTCAGGATTTTTAGACTCTTCTCAGGATTGCGGCTGGATTTTGCAAATCTCATGAAATCTCAGGATTTTTACAACTTTCAATATAATACAGCTTACATTTTAAAAGATCTCTTAATAAAAAGTTAAACAAACTAAAAATAATTTGCCTTTGGTAATAATTCCACAATTAAAATCAAAACTTATTTATCCAATTAGGTACTTAAACAGTTTTATCATACTTAATATGTGAAGATACCTTTAAAGTAAGGTTTTCTTCTCAAACTGTAAAACAATCTCAGGATTTTTAAATGGAAATCAGGCCTCTTCTCCGGACTTTTAATTTTTTCATCTGGTAACCCTAGTCACATGTTTAGTATAAAATAATTGAAACAAGTTTATTCATTATGTAACCATTTATATACCAAAATGAACTTAACAAAACATAGATTCTTATGACACTAAAGTTTTTTCAAAATGACCTACGTGCTACAGGCCTTCAATCTGCGCGGCCAGTCGTCTATCGCAGCACGAACGAGGTCCATGTCAATATCGGCGGCTGCCTTAATCAAGGATGTCTTGAGTGACTCCAAATTGGGATGAGGCTTTGAGCACGCCTTTTCCTCCAAGTGTTGCCATATCTTGTAATCTAACGGATTCAAATCTGGACTGGAGGAAGGCCAGTCTTCGTGCCGGATGAAGTCGATTTCACGCGCCGCCAGCCAGTCTTGTGTGCTCTTCGCTCTATGAGCTGGCGCCGGATATTGTTGGAATACTCAGTGCCTGTTATTGAACATGGTATGAGAAACAGGTTCCACAAGGTTCGTCAGGACTGTATTTTGATATACAACTGCATTCGTTTTTACACCTTTCTCACAAAAATGTATCTCTATTAAACCCCAATAAGAAACTCGCAACGATACCATGAGCGAGGATGGAAAATGACCTCGTTGGACACGCGTAATACGGTTGCTCGCTTCTTCACTACTGTGTGCGTACACCTTATCATTTTGTTTGTTGTAGCTCTCTTCTACGGTAAAAATTTTTTCATCCGAAAAAAGAATTTCCCGATATTTTTTTCCGCGTACCGCTTCAACAAAGCGCGGCATCTCTTCAGTCTCAGGTCCATTAGACGAGCATTCAAACGATGTCCTGTTTTTCTTCGATATGCCCGAAGCCCTAAGTCTTCATTTAACACCCTTTTCACCGTGGTTCTGCTTAACCCCGTCTGAAGGGCCAACAGTTTCTGCTTACGTTTGAGATTTTTTTGAATTCGCGCCTTCACAGCTTTTATCACTGCTGGAGTTCTAACAGACCGAGGGCGACCACTTCTTGATCTGTCATCTACACTAGCTAGACTAGATAGGCATGAGACCGATATATCAAAACGTAACTAATAACGTTATGTTATCAAATATCATATCATATCGATAAACCTAAGAACATAACCGTTATCACATATCCAACCAAAATAAAAAATCAACTTACCAACGTACGAAACGTAAAACGCAATCTGTAACGATATGCCAAAAACCGAAAACGGCCCAAAACCAAAACTAACCGATGTCCTTTGATATTCGTTGTTTCTCGTTCTAGCGACAGTATCATAAATGCGTATGAAAGAGATGAAACGAATATGGATTTCGTTGTGATGTTTTGGTTGTTATCATAAAAGGTGCACGTAGTGAAATATAATTATAAGATTCTGAACAATAAGGTCGAATTTTAAATGGTTAAAATTGCCTAATTTTTTAAGTTTGTGTAGTTGTGAGATTTGCCAGATTTATATGATCTTTAGGACATTAAGCACTAGACTTAGATTTGTTTGATCATATTATATTCGGTTTAGGCAACTTTTGTTTATGTGAAAGTTTAGAATTTGATTTTTTTTCAAACGTAACAATTACGCACTTGACATTGGTGGCGTGTGCCGTTCACTATGAAACTATCTCTAAAATTATTAATTTTTGACGTTGCGTTTGTGCATTTATTTGTAATATTGTTTGCATTTTGTACATTTGTTTTAAAACTTTCCTGCTAGTCCTAAGCCTAGTTAAGTTTATGAAGGTAA